TTTCTAATGCAGAAAATATAGACTTATTTTCCAAAAACAAGGCTTTTTTACTTTCTAGAGATTCCTCTTTTGCAGTTGTTTTTCAGCCAGGCCTAGTGGATTCTTAAAAATGCAATTTGGAGCGCTAGAATGAGCCAAAGGAACCAGATTTTTTCAGAGATTATCTGTCTCATGTATGTCAAACACAGGTGAAATTTCAAGCAAATAAAAAGGTATTAAAGTTACCTACTGTAGCTTTAAGATTCAGGTGGACGAGAAGACCTGCAGGAGATCCAGAAAGAAATAATTGGTGCATCGGCGTCTGGTGGTGTGTGTGTGTGTTTCAGGGCGGAGGGCAGCAGTAAGATCCAGGCCCGGATTGAGCAGCAGTCGGTCCGGTCCAGCCAGCCCACTTCTCAGTTCCGGGCCCCCACCAAGCCCGGGACTGGAGTCAAGACCTCCCCATCTCCTTCTAAGGATAATCCCTCCCCAGAGCCTCAGCTCGATGACATCAAAAGAGGTAAGGAGGTCCAGACACGACCACAGCCTCAGTTCAAACCTAATCATAACACATGGACCATATCATTTTAGTTATCGCACGTATGGCGTGTTTTAACAAATATTTGGATAAACGGATCAGTGGAAATGAGGAAGGAAAGTAGGAATATAAAACAAGAAAGAGATGTTGACCTTGCTGCTGTTGGCAGAGCTGCGAGCGGAGGTGGAGGTGATAGAGCAGATGAGCAGCAGCGGCAGCAGCAGCTCCTCTGACTCAGCCAGCGCCTCGGGGAGCGGCGACGACAGCAGCAGCAGCGACGCCGAGCACGACTTCCCCCGACCGCTCACCCAGACCTCCCCCAACCGCCACCCCATGGCCAACGGAGGAGCCGACCGGCAGCAGGGCAACAACCAGCTCATGAACACACTACGTGAGTGTCTTTTCTTCCATTAAGAGAAGGAAAACCTTACTCATAGCTCATGCCGTAGCTGCCAGTTATTCCTCATAGGACACTGATTTGTCCGAACCTTTGTGGTTTGGACTGCATAGATTAAAGCCCTGCTCGCAAGGTATCCTAGAAATAACAATCTACAGCGGGCCTAGTTAAGACAGCCCTGAGTTCAAAGCGTTAATGATGTTATATTATTGTCATGAACTGTGGCTTTTAATGGTTGTAGACAAAACTCTTCATTTGTGTAAACAAATAATTAATCAATTAACTAATTTAGTCCGTTTTTTATTACAGTTTTCTTATAATCATAAACAGAATTTTATAAAATGATAGAATATGATTGTTTCATCTTAATACAATATACAATAATCTGTTAATGATGTAATTGTTGCCCAGTTCACTCACTTTGCACCTGTCTTGTACAGTAAATGGGCTGGTGTACTGGCACAGATGCTTCAGTAAACAATCGTTAACCGGTTTGTCTTCTGGTCTTCACAGGAAACGACCTTCAGCTCAGCGAGTCGGGCAGCGACAGCGACGACGACTGAACCCTGGTCAGTCTCTCTCTCTCTCTCTCTCCACACTCCTCCTCCTCCTTTCTGCCTGGTTCACTTATTCCTTTGCTGTGATAGCTGACCCCAGCTGTATATCTTGGTTTGACTGTATTTTTCATTTTATTTTAGTATATCCTTAAAGCTGGCCAGCCTGGAACTTTAAGAGTGTATTTTTATTAGATGTATATTTTGTTTTGTATAGCAAAACTTTTACTTGAGAGGTTTGGAAGAGTATATATTAGAGTGCACATACATATTTTCTGTACTTAGAGCAGCTAGTTTTCTCTACTTATCATCTGTTTTTGTGGTCTTTATCGTAAGGCAAGGAAGCGATTGTGTTGAAGTATCACCCCTCATCCTCTCACCTTGCCTCGTCGTTTATCAGAGAAGGTTGTGGGAACCCTCTCCATGTTTTTATCGGTTCGCTAAGAATACAAAAAATTGCAGAATTGCACAGATAGCCTGTGCATGAGCAACAAATCAAAGAAAAAAGTTTTTTTTATCATCAGCGTATGTTAAGATCAGTGTAGAGCTGCCTTACTGATCTCAACTATAGTTTCTTAGTCACAGTTTTAAACTGTTGCTGAATATTTTAACACTTATGTCCTTCATTAAAGGATAAGGATATTCTATCAATAAATCCCATGAAAAGACCAACCCTGGCTGTCTGTGGCTCTGAAGACATGAATCTATAAAAACAGCTCACACATAAATAGTTTTATTTTCCTAAAAGCACAGTAGTGTCCTCAAATAGCTGGACAGTTTTTAGCAAACGTTACTAAAACAGTAAATAATGAATTTCTTGGGACTATTTTCAGCGGCGGATTAATCCACATTTGGTGCTCCAGTGAGTATTTGTGGCAGCAGTACAGTGTATGTGAGATTGAGTTAAAATAACCCACAGTGTGTATGTTCATAGTAATAAAGGAACATGAATAATGTAACATTGATCTGTTTTTAATAGTTTTTTGACAACATTAGTGCTTTGATACACACAATAGTTTTTAGGATCAATTCATTGCAGGTTTTGGTCTTTTCATGGGATTTGCTGCCAGTAAGAGAAATATATAGAATTTAGCCAGTTTATAAAACAGTTATCTAATTAAAGTGGAATTTACCTAAATTAAATTTCAGGTTGCTGTTCTGTAATTATTTCACTTCAAGGTTATGGCAAAATTAGTGACATAACCTTATAGGAAATTTGATTTAGATTCAGACTAATTTGATTTAGATTTCTGGCATCTAGTGCCACATAGCACAATGTCTACGAGCTGGAGCCAAGTTACAGATGTTTAAAGCTGCATTTAAAACTCAAACTCGCAGACACACAGACCTGATATATATCAGCTGATTGCGTTGTTATGCTCATGTGTTAGCAAACAGTTGAATGTAAGTCTAGTACTCACTTTCCTTTTAGCTCTGTCCACCAGCAACTGAGGAAAATATGTGGCTGCAGTTGTTGATGAGAGCTGAGAGAACTCAAACGTACAGTTTGTTTGTAGCTGGAGAATCAAAAACTATGAGCTTAAAGAGGCTAACAATCCCAGCCGAGCTGCAGAGGTGGCTGTTATTAGCAGTGTTACCAAATTAAACATAGGCAGCCATTTGATTGTACACTACATGTCCTGCACCAAACAGAGGAGGAGTTAGTAAGTTGGTAGTTTACTACAACAAATGCATTTTCTTAGCTGTGTGTAGGTATCGCCATCATTACTTCCGTCCTTCTCTTCCTTTTCCAAAGTCACAGTAAATCCCACGGATTCACAGTATAACCAGTTACAGTATCAGAGTTGCATTTCAGAGAATTACTGATGATATCAAACACTCCACAGTCTGTTGAGATCATCAAAGTTAAAATCGGAGTCTAGATTTGAGACATAAAAAACACCTGAAACTCAACTTATAGATGATTAAATCTGGAAAAGGGAAAACAATCCCTCGAAGAGCTTTATTTTCCTATAATTTATTTTCCAAATGACCACTATTTGTTTCACGTTTGTTGTGTCAGCCGTGTCATTGTTTTCAAACAGAGAATATCTTATTTTTCAGTCATTTTCATATAACACTTATATTATAGGACCATTCCATGCCTTACAGCATTTCAGTTTGGATATGAAGGTTGAATGCGTCGTTTTCTGAGAATGCCAAAGAGTTGAACTGCCCCTCATCATGTGCAGAGAGCAGGAACGTTCAGAGTAACAGTGTCCTGTCAGTGTGTAAATGTATTCAGTTTGTTTTAACGGAGACTGTGTTGTGTACGAGTAGTGAAGTCAGTGATTATCTGCAGGAGTCAGTATCATTTGGTGTTGGTTGTACAGTATTGTGTATACATGGTATCATTATTAATGCCTCAAAGGCAAAACACAGAATCATGATAATTTGATCAAATGGCCAAATTTAAAGGGATGTTCCCTTCTTATTAATTAGACAACTGATCTGATGTTAGAGTCCTGATCAACTAACAAATCTGTAGTTGAGGAAGAAGAAGCAGGAGTTATTTGTCATTACCCCACAATTGTTTTCTCTTATTTTACCTGCTGTAATTAGACACTTTGTACTGTAGAGTGTACAATATGTAAGGCTGCAACTAACTATTTTTATTATCAACTAATCTGCTGATTATTTTTTTATTGGATTGATTAACTGTTTGGTCTAAAAATATCAGAATGTACTTAGAGCTGGGTATCATTTAAAATGTTTTCAATACTATGACTTTGATACCGGTTCCTGAACAATACTTTTTTCGATACCAATATTATGAAATGGATACATTTTAACATTGTATCCGACTATATATAACATAAATAATCAAAAGGAACATTAATAACAAACAGTAAACAGAAATGTGGTACCGAATGACGAGAGATTACTTGATAGTATCGAAGCAATTCCGTCAGTGCCATATAAGCATTGGCGTTTTGTACTTTTGGTGCTGACATTTTGTTTCTGACCTACAGTCTAAAACCAAAAGATAGTTTACTGTCATTGAGAAACTAAACACAAATATTATACTGTCATCCTAAGACATTTTTTCATGACATCATTACATCGTTAAAGCTTAGAGAATGTCATCTACATTTTCAACTATTTACTAATGAATATTACACATTTTAAAAACCCAAATAGTTTTGTGGCATTTTGAAATGAAACCCTTCAATCACAGGTAAAATGAAGTTTGGGGAACATTTCCATATTGCTAAAATGATCTGCTATGTAACAGTTGTTGGTATTTTATATTGTAGTTGTGTTTCTCAAAAGCTTCTTTAGATGAGGTTCAGTTTTGCTTCATGAGCTCACACAACCGAGGATTGTGAGTTATGAGATGCCTGTAAACAGTTACTGACCTACCACACAGTAACAGTTTTAAAGATCCTGCCTCTTAAAAGAAAGTACCAGTTAACTGTGGAATTTAACCATGTGCAAGTTCAGACTGTGGACCATTAATTTGTAAACCCTACATCACCCGTCAGTTGTTGTCCTACTCAGTTTGAAACTTCTCCTGTACTTGAAGTCAAAGTGGATGGTGAGTTGTTGAATGAAGCAGCCACTGAGGCAGGTGGCCACTGAAGTCACACTCACTGGTGTTCCCTCTGAAATCTGTTTTGTTGTATTTGGTGCTTTAGTTTTTATGTTTTTGTTTTAGTGCTACGTTTACGTGAAACATGTTTGTACAGATCTGTATTAAAAGTGTGCAAATGTATTTAAAATTGTTGATGTTTTCCCTTTTCATTGTGAGAATAGACCTCGAAATGGTAGGGTAAACACAGGTGTTACTAACGATACTAATTAAGGTTAGTAACACCTGTGTTTACCCTACTATTTCATGTGAAAATAGCTGCTGTGAGTGAGTAGCCTTTTCTTATTGAGTGCTGATAAATCTGATTACTTTTATCCTAAGGGGGATTTATAGTTGTGCATTAGGGCTGCAACTAACGATTAAATTCATTATCTCATTATATCTCGTTATCTTTTTCTCAATCGTTTAGTTGTGAAAAATCCCTGTTTCCCAAAGCTGTGACTCAAATGTCTTGTTTTGCCCACAAACCAAAGATATTCAGTTTACTGTCATAGAAGACTAAAGAAACCATAAAGTATTCACGTTTGAGAAGCTGAAATCAAAACAATTAATCGATTATCAAAATAGTCAACAATCCACCAGTAATTGACTAATTGTTGCAGCTCTATAAAGAGGTTACACTGAAGCTACAGATTGTAACCCCACATCGGTATCGATACCATAAGACCGTTTGGTCATCTCGGACTGCTTGTGTTTACTCCGACATGCATCTAATGCTGGGTGAGATTGCTGACATTAATAATATTATGAAGTTAGAATAAAATGTCTTTTGTGTATAAAAATAGAGTTGCTGTTCTTTCTTTTGATGTGTTCACTGTTCACATATCCATAATGATGATGATGATCTAAAAGGCTGGAGGAGGCTGGCAACTTCAAAATAATACTCTGGTGGGGAAAGTGTTTCACAGGTTTTAACATTTAGGAAAGTAAAGACAGCAGTCAGAAATGAACTTCGATAAAAGATTATATTGCTGGTCTTAAATAATTATCGTCAAGTGAAACATATGCTTTGATGAACACCTTCAGTTTGATACGAACCACAACAACCTGTACACGGAGCACAACACAATACAGTACTTTTTCCCTGCGATGGTGCAACAACTGAGTCACATTTGGGCATTTCTCTTCAAACAGTAACACAAAAGTACACAACAAATACATAAATAGCTTTTGTTTCCCTTTAAATCATTTATAACGCAATTATATTCATGATTCTGGCTCTTGCTACGACATGTCATTTGACCGATATATAAATTAAACAACATCAACAACAAATAATAATAATAATATTAATAATAATTAGAACAATAATAATATAAAAGCTGTCTGTCTCTCATATAAATCTGGCTAGCTTACAGTATGAAATGATGGAATAGAGATCACAAGGGCTGTTTGATATGATGCATCAGAGAGTTCCTCCACTTTGAATCTCCTTATTCCATATGCAAATGCTCAGTTTCCCACTTTAGAGTGTTTGTGAGAGAAATTTAGGCGCCATGTTGGCTCAGACAAGAGTCCACTGGGCCAAATTGTTTCCTGAGGGTCCAAGGCGTGGACAAACGTTCCTCAGGTGGTGGAGACAGTGATGTCTCAGAGAGTGGGGCTCCTGAGTTTTCTCTTGGGAGTTCAGTTCTTCCTCTACAAGACTGGAAATAGCACCTCTGGTGGTGGTGACTGGTATTGTGACAGTACATGGTATTACAAGAGGCACAAGGAAGAAGCTGAATGTGGTGGCGAGTTTCAGCCTCCCATCCAGCAAGTGTCCCTCTGGTCCGTCACCGTAGCTTGTATCGCTAACGTCCAAGTCACTGCAACGCTTCTTTGTGAAGATATGGACCCTGAGTACCTTGTTGCATCTGATCTGTCGACTTTTGCGTCCTCCCAAACTCTTCTCGGCTTGTTTGGCCCCCTAATTATTTTACTATAAATGACCCTAACCTAGCCCCGTCCCCTCCCTCCCACCTGGGTCACAAGGGTCACCGTCCAGGGCAGGCTATGGGTTTGATGCAACGTCCCTGGAACAGCACCAGGTTGGCGGGGCAGTGGCAGCCGGCCACGCAGGGCTTGTGGCACGGTCTGATCTCGTTCCAGTTGTCGCAGGTTTTGGTGCAGCCTGGTCCGCATGTGTCGTACACAGCGCCGTGTTTGCACTGGGTGGCTGAAGGGAGGGAAGAGACGGTAAAGGTTAAACATTCAGTTGTAATAAAGTTGATCTGGATTTGATGGTCTAATGATCATCAAAATTCAAGTCTTCATTTGACAAAAGCAGCTTATGATAGATGTTTAAGAGACAGTTCACCATAACAGACATCAACACAAATAAATACTACAAGCAAAAAAACTTAAAATTATGCAATTGAAATGCAATTAGGTCACGGGCACTGTCACTCACCCATACAGGCGGTGTCGGGCCTCCAGAGGACCGGTACCCCCTCCCTCTCGCAGGCTCGGCTGTAGGCGATGAAGGACTCACAGTAGCAGTTTTTATGGACTGGACACTCACACATGTCCGTCACACACGACCTACAGAGAGCAGGACGATAAATGATATGTCAGACTGCTGTACTTCACTTGCATAAAGTGATACTTTTGGGTACAGGCCCTGGGTTAGAGGTAAGGTTAGGATGAGTAGGGAGAGTAGACAAGTCAATGGGCTGAAATGTGGTGATAGTGCTCATATCATAAATGATTTATGGCAAATTCCGTAAATCAATAAAGTGGCCCTTGAAGGTTCACGACTATTGCATGATTTTTATGACAAGGTTGTGAACCATAAAAAAAACAAGATTTAAAAAATGTGAGTGACTTTGAACACTTCATTTGACATGGGTTAATTATTATGTCATCTTTTGGTATTAAAAGAATTAAAGTACACTCAGAGTGAGACTCTGTCCTCTAACCTGTAGAAAGGCGCGAAGTCAACCACACGGTGGCACTTCTGAAACTCCCACGACTTTATCTTCTGGCACTCCCTGTGAGCGCGGAACTTGACTTTAACGCTGCCGGGGCAAAGGAAGGACGCCGGCCGGCGAGGCGGAGGCTGCTGCGAGCAAACCTCGTTCCCCTCGACTCGCCACGACTCTGCAAACTCATCCACGTCGAACTTGAACTGGCCATCACCTCCCATGGTGTCGTCGCGCTTGTGGCCGTTGTAGTTGCCGCAAAGGCCGCAGAGCCGTCCACGCAGGTGGGGAGCTGCCACAACCTCCACGAAACTGTCGCCGTCCCACGTGATCTCCAGACCTGCAGGGAGAGGTGGAGGAGTTTAACACTGGTAATTCCTTTAGATAATACATTTTTCTCCAACAAATCAAACAGAGGTAAGTGCATTTTGTTGGTTTTAAAGGTGAAAGATCAAGAGAGGTAACTTATTATGATTGCAGCATCTTTTAGAAATGTGGATATAAATATGCAGAAATATTACAGTATGGCACTAATAAGCAGTAATACATTGATAATGAGCACTTTGACAGAATCAAAAGTCTGTGAGACTGCATACTAAAGAAATGAAAAGAGTTTCGCATGCTGACCTGCGATGGTGGTCAGTTTGAGCAGGTATCCGTCCAGGTCGATGTGCACCCCGGGGCCGTGGTAGGGCAGGGCGATGCGGGTGCCGTTCCTCCGGACTGTCAGGTGCTGGTGGAGACTGAGGATCAAACCTCCCAGCCTAATCTCTACAGACTGAGTCCAGGAGAAGGATCGAGTCCGCCGGGCGTCGTTCTTCACTAACACCTGGTAAAGGTGGGGAAACAATGCAAAAATGACAACAGGTCAGGAAACAATGCAAACATTTGTGCACAAAACAGAGCTTTTGCAGCCAACCAACAATAGTTGGGTGCAAAGAGACTGGCGTACAATCTGTTTGGCATGTCGCCATTATGACGTTTTTGGCAGTATATTTTCAGTAGAGGCTGCATCCAGTGTTTGTGCTAAGATAGGCTAAATACAGCCCAGAGCAATCTCTCCACTAAATGCACAATTTAAATGTATGTATTCCTTTCTCATCTGACTCTGAAAATGTCAGTGTCTTCCTTTAAAGGCTGTAAAATGTCCTAACTCCCGTCCTACCAGGAAGCTGGAGTCTGGGCTGTTGATGTTGATGTTATTTCCTGGTCCTCCAGAGGGGGTGCTGCCACAATCACGAGTCAGTATGTACTGACAGGTTCCCTGAAAGTTAAAGGTCCTGCCATCGAAGGTGTTGTAGTGAGGGTCGCCAAAGACTGTGCATACACCCGGTTCTGCAGAGGAATGGAAGCAAAGAGAAAGAGGAGTAAAGATGGAGTAAATACAGAATTCAGAGAGAGAGAACGACCAAAATAAAGTTACTAAAGAAAAGTTATTCTTAGATGCTTAAAATACCAGCAGTGGGATACATAAAAATGTATGTTTCTGTCATTCCAGGAAATCAAACATAAAACCCAAATGCAAGAAATTAAAAAGGACACATGTTGATGCCTGACAGCCAGCAGCAAAAGGATAATTAATGATAAATGGTGAAATATGAGGTACTAATCTGACTCACTCAGAAGTGGATCTGTGGTGTGGTAAAATGTCTGCTTTACCCGCTGAACTAAACTCTACATTATGCAGAAGTGAGTTTTATGGAGTCTTTGTAGTCCTGAAATGGTACATTTACAGCCACTTTTGTTGACTTTCACTGCAGGTCGCAGCCAAAAACCAAAGTAAAATGACCTCAGGGCAAACCACAGTCTGGACTGAAGTTCATGGGAAATGCTCAGCTGAAGCTGCGGAGGCTGGACTGAGATTTGTTTTCATTAACTTCAACAAGGATGATTCCTAGATTTTAATTTATTTTTATTACCTTACTAAATATCACTGAATCAATATGTGATTTCACAGATGCATCAAAACAGACTTCCATAAAGTTGTTTTTTTTAATTTTACGGCCCCAAATTCTTCTTTCTTTTATTATTTAGGGACGTGTGAATTCTCTAGAAAAGCAGAAGCTGGAGGGTTGAGAAGGACTTACTCACTTTCAGTGCAAACTGGACAGCAGCCGGTCCTGTTCAGGATCTTATTCTGCAAGAGACGAGGCAGAGGCACAGTGTTAGACCCCTCAGAGGGTCATTTATAATAAAATATAGAATATGTCTAAACATTACAATAAACTTTACACTGTCACAGCTTGTAAAACGAAGATGCATATCACATATATTACAATCAATGTTTTATTTCTTCATAGCTGCTATGTGAATCTGATTACAGTCAGGTTATCAGTAGTTTTTGCTGTGGCTTCACACTCATGTGTGTCTGTGATGCAAATGAAGCATTTTCGAATAAAGGATTATATATAAAAGATTTAAAGTGTGAAGGACAGAGAAAGCAAAAAAGAAAGAACCAAAAGGACAGACAGGTCTTAATTTTTTCATCCTCTGGATTTGATTTACTGACAAAAACAGCATCTGACATGAAATGAAACACTTTTCCAGGATTTTCCAGCCGCAAATAAACACGAACATTCAAAATGATGGTTAAGAGCTAAAAAATGTGCTTGACGTCCACCAAAGATCAACCAGACTTTTGGAGACAACCTGTTAATGGTTACATTTTTCCACATTTGGTTGGCAGAAGTAACAAAGGTGACAGGTTCTGTTTTCATGCTGTCATTCAGACAGAAAATAAATGAAATCAACGATAGAAACGTAAGAAAAGTTCCCACTTTGACAAGTTCACAGTCAAACCAGGACGACCACAAAGACACCGATACTCCAGCTTCAACCGCTGAACTCTGTCTGTGTAACAGGAAACTCTGTGTGTGTGTGTGAGTGTGTGTGTGTGTGTGTGTGAGAGTGTGTGTGTGTGTGTGTGTGTGTGTGTGTG